TATATATATATATATATATATATATATATATATATATATATATATATATATATATTTATTTATTTATTTATTTATTTATTTATTTATTTATATTTTAATTTCTGATCTTTTGTTCAGAATGGATCACAACAGTTCAGGCAAACCTGACACATCTTAAGAATCAACCTGTTGAAACACTGTGGCCCAGGGATACACTGTTCAGGTAGGAAGATAAAAAAATAAACATGATTCCACTTGGTGCCCGGGGTGCTTATTTACTTTTGGTACCTCAAGGGAGGGCATTTATTTGAGATGGGGCACTTATTTTGGACAGGGAGCTTATTTCTTTTTTGGGTCAAGGAGACTGGAAAACAGACTTGTTGTCCCTGGATCCTTCCTGGCCAGAATGACCAGCCGAGCAAATTTGAAGAGATAATTCATTTGAAGGAATTATACATTCACTTGGACATAGTAGTACTGTTGAGAAACTCAGATGAAGAGCAGTTTTTGTAATGCGGCATTACATATGTGAGTAATTAAGGAAGATGAACCTCAGTTGATATGTAATCAGATGGCACTGTAATAATATATGTATATTAGAATAGGGACGTTTATTAGAATGGGGGCCCTTATTGGAATAGGGACGCTTATTAATAAAAACACATTCAAAGGAGGGCGCTTATTCGAAAGGGGGTACATATTGGAAGCAGGGTGCTAAATCGAATCAGTATGGTAACTGAATAGTGAATACACAAGGGGACTTCTCACTTACAATGATCTTAGAGAGCAAATCCAATAAGCTATATTGTATTCTAGAAAAACTATCAGATACCGGTATGTTGGAAATAACAAAAGAAAATGACTGTGCAGCTTTTCTTACTAGTTGAATTTCTGTTGATTGATGTCAACAGGTACTTCCAGTTAATGGAGGCCTGGCAAGAGAATCTTGCTGAAAGACAGCAACTAATGCACATGGCTGGTAAGCCTTGTTTGTTTCAACACTTCTCACTATTAGGCTTGGATGCAGCAACACACTAGTGTTGGGGTGTGAAGCAGAATGAAACTAAATACACCCTAATGTTAAATTCATCTTCTTTCAACAGCCCAAGCCCTTCTGAAACTTCATGATACATGACCACAGATAAACCACATTGAGAGGTTCCTTGGCCATGCGGATATTTGAAATGCAGCTTTTCCTAACTGATATATATGATTCCCACTTTTTGAGAAAACTAGTAGCCAGTGACATTATGGTGTGATTAATAGAAACAGGTCTCACTTGTTTTGATTTTACCAGTCACAGTCACCAACTTGTACAGATATCTGATTGAAAATCTTTCAGATTTGTTGATAATTTGGTAGCTTGTAACTTATTGATAAACTTAAAGCATTCAAGGTTATCAGTTTTAATTTTGCTTTTACAAGCAGATTTAAAATTAATATTATAAGGAACAAGCAACCTAGAGTTGTTCTCACATCAGCTCATTCCTTGGCATCATTTTATCCCTTTAAACCATTCAAATTTGTTGTGAAATGAAACACTGTTTGTTATTAATCCTTCATCAAAATAAAGTCATTATGCTTCAGAAAAACAAAACTGAACTTTATTGTGTCTTGCTCTATGCTTTGCTACTATTAATAATAATTGTTGTTGTTTAGCAGTGATAGGAGATTAGCGATTCTTCTTGGTCTTCAGCTGTGCCTGTGGGGCTGAGTTTGTTGTTGGAGTGTGTGTGCTGGCAGCGATCCTGTTGATGTAGTAAATGGCTACCATAGAAAACAGGAAACTGCAGAGAAGAAATGATTGGAGTGAATTAAGGAATCACTAGCATTAACTTTTCAATGCCCTTGTAAGACATTTCTCAAACTCATACATGTATTCATTATGCTGAAACAAAGGAAATCACAACTGTGACAGTGTTTGGATATCTGATCTTACTTAGCATAGATTTTTGAGATTTTATTCTCTGTTTTCTCCTTAATTTTGTTAACATGTACGATTGAGAAAATATATCAAACACTTGATACCGATTTTACTATATTTTCAAAACACCTCCAAACTCCTCAAAAAATACTCCACTTTGGGTTGTATTTTCCACTCTCATGTCACTTTTCAAAAAATTGGGTGAAAAACAGTTTCTTGTGTTCAATATGTTAAATGTGAGGTTATTCCTCAAGACTCACCTTTGTGTTAAAAAATTCACATAATTTCAAAGAAATTTGATTGTCAACACAGTTGAACCTCCGGTTGCGACCACCTCTCCACTCGGAAGCGACCACCTCTCCTCAGCGACCAGTTTTCAACAAATACCAAAAGTTTCCAAGTCAAATCACTATTTTTGGAACCTCTTGTAAGCGATCACCTCTCGTAAGCAACTGCTACCACTCTAAGAGCTAAAAGTCTGAAATTTTCTTTTGTTTTTAACCTCCCATTGGCAACCTCTTGACAGATAATAGAGCGAAAATTGGATAATAAGGTGTTGTAACATTATCGCATTCCTAGGTTGTACAAGAGATGGAAACTTCTTAATGGGAAGTGCCAGATTTTTTCTCGAAATTGACTTTTCACATGAATAAGACATGGGGTAAGTCTCTGCAGTTACCATATGCTAATGAGGCTAACTTTGGACCCAATATGGTCTAAGCTATCGTAAGCGACCACCTAGGCTTGACATTTTGGGTGGTCACATATGGGAAGTTCAACTGTATCAGTAAAATCAACATGGATACTTTTGACCTCTGACTTAATGTATGAAGTGACTGACTTAGTGTAGGATCACTGACTTTGGGTAGGGCCAGTCTTTGCACAGGCTGAGCATAGCACAATTTTAGTATAAACTAAAAGACATTTGTGCATGTTTTTATTGGCCAGTTACCCTAGTTTTAATCATCATCATCACCTCTCTTATTAAGTAACAATTTGAGATTTGACAGATTGGTGTGGTGTTACATGTGTATCAGTGCAGAGTGAATTGAAAAGCTTCCATAAGACAGGGATAATAAAGACTGTGACTGACCATCAACAAGATTATGACATTCATGTATACTGATTGATACATGCACCACTATCCACAGACCTAAAGCCCCCCTGTAATAAAACAAGGCAACTCACCAGGTTGTTACACAAACTCTGTGGACTAGACCTGAGGCAAACATTGCAACTACCAGACAAAGAATTACTTGAAGAAAAAGAAAACAAAGAAACAATATTAATACACCTAAATTGAATTCAACCAGTAGCCTTCTCTTTTGAAATAGACTTCACTAATTTTATTTTGTATGACATACTCTCAACTGCAGCCAGTGTTAAATCAGCCCCTCAGCCCCAAGAAGCCCAAACTGAAAGAGATTATTCTGCTTTCACTACTACGCAATGACCAGGAGTGTTGCTATCCATTGTAAATGTTTGATGGAACACTTTTTCAGGTTGTTTTAACAATAATAATTATTATTAACAGAACCCATTCACCCTGGGTGAAGAGAGGTGTTGTCCTGGAATAAAATGAATTATCAAGAACACAACCCAAGCCAACACTTAAATGAGGCTGCACTACTTGATCTTGAGTCCAATGTGCTAATCACTTGGCCATTGGGTCTACCATATTGCACTCTGTGTGCACTACCATTTTCTACAAATATCAGGGACAAAACTGTTGAGACATTTTAGGGAATCGAACACTTTGTAACAAAGAAACATACTTTCTTTGATGAAAAAAAAATTGTTTTCCGTTGTTAGCCAGCCCCCTCCCTACCCTCCAATCAGTGTTGAAACTGGCTTTGACAAGAGCATGTCAAGGTTACAACATTGGAAAGGCAGAGAAAGACCGAATCCAAGGAGTGGAGATAAGACAAATCAAACTTGGAGGGAAAAGGCTTGTTTTTGAGCAGTGTGTTTTGTCCCTGATTGTAGTCATATCCTGCAGAGGCTACCCTCTAAGGTTACTGTGTGACAAAGACACAACCAAAGATACTTAAGTTGTGTAAATTAATAACCAAGCTAAGCCACAATACATACCTTCTGGAAACAATTTTGTTTGGAAATTTCGTCCAAACATAGAGGTCTCTAAATTTCCTACTGCCTAATGGGATGCAGTCAAGGAAAACACAGTGTGTAACAGAGTGGTTACAAAACATTTAATTAAAATTGAAATTAAATAAAAATCACAGAAAATATTACGCTAAATTTGGTTCAGATAATAAACTGCGACTTTGGCTTAGTTTTCTTGGTAAGAGAACGCAACGAGCAACCAAGTATAAGGCTGTGCATAGAAAACCTTCAAGTTGTTGGAATCAAAGCTAAAGGTCTTTGTTCTATGAGATTGCATGCATTGGTGCAGATTGGTGATGGAACAAAATAGAATGATCTGATATGGCAGAGAAAAGAGCAAGGAGAAAACTATTGTACACATGTCATGATAATCTAATTAAAGTACCGTAAGAACGTAAAGGATACAGTTAGAAGGAAAACGAAAAGTTGCGATCCTATGAATCCCCCAAGAATAGTCATCCATTCACTGGATGCCAAGTTTGTCTTGAACATTTGCATTCCAGCGAAAGTCAGCACGGTTAACGTGGTCGCAAACAGGAACGACGTGTACGATGGAAGAGCTGTGATTCAAATTAAACCCATGAGATCAAAGGAAAATTCACCCAAAAGGGGACAACAAATGGAAAATCTCTTACCCATGTTGAAAGAGGACACTCGAAAGGAAAGAGGACAACTCAGCTGTTCGCCCCAGTACTTCGCATAAGAAAATTCGCCACGTTCCCGGATGGTATAGTCTGGGCTATAATGGCGGGTCAAGTCGGGTCAAATATCGACTATTCACAGTTTACAGCTCGCATTGAAGATGTCTGAGCTGCATTTTAAGCCAAGAAGAATACCGAACCAGAATTTGGTTTGGAGGCTGCGCCAGCGAGAGACCCATTTTCCAAAACCTGGAACCCACTGGCATCAAGCTAGAGCTTTCACACAAAACATCTTTCCAAATTTCACCATTGTGAATGTGGAAACACCACCGTGTTACCTGCGAAAGTTTTCACCCGATGGGCGTTATTTCGTTGCATTCTCTCTAGACCAAAGTTCTGTTGAAGTGTACGAGTTTCAAGGGCCGAGTGCCGCAGAGCAATTACTGGCGACGGAACAGTCGGACACTGTGATAAGGAGCAGACTGTTTAGCAGTTTCTTTCGTTTAAGTTCCGTTGTAACAGTGGCGCAGAATGGAGAGCATTTGAACAGGGAGTGTAGTTTATTTACAGATGATGGTCGGTATGTCATTGTTGGGTCAGCTTCTTATGTCCCAGAGGAACCTCATCCTTACTTCTTTGATATCTACAGTAACAACGAATCAGTTTCACCAAATCCCAGGTCTCCTCTTGAAGATTACACAATCCACATTGTTGACATGAAAACTGGAATGTTGTCTGACTCAAGGACGTTCAAATGTGATAAAATTTTCCTGTCTCACAACCAGGGATTGTACTTGTACAGAGATCTTCTTGCTGTTTTGTCTGTTCAACAGCAGGTAATACACATCTTTCAAGTGACTTCCGATGGCAGGTTTATTGATGTGCGCTCTATTGGCAGATTCTGTTACGAGGATGACGAATACATGCTGACCTGTGTCAGGAATGTTGATGCTAATGGCCAGCCCATACGACCTTACATGGAGACCTGTCTGAATGGACTAAAGCATCGCATCCTGGCTCACTTGTGGAGATGTGCATATAATGAAGGTAGTGCTTTAGCCATGGGCAGGTTTTATCAGCATGTAGAACTGTTCAGAGCTCTGAGGATGTGGAAGATGCAGCTCTTTGATAGCAGGATTTTGTTGATTAAGTATGCGAGTGAAGATGTTGTGACATTAAGGGTTCCTGATCCTAACTCACAGCCTTCATTCTTCATTGTGTATGACATGGAGACGACAAAAGTCTTGGCAGTGTTTGAAAACACTTCTGAGAAGTTGCTAGAACTGTTTGAACAATTCTGTGACTCATTTCGGAATGCTATGTTGCATTCACCAGCACAGTTTACATGTTCAGCTTCAAGCAACATCTTTGCCCGGCAAATTCAAAGACGATTTAAACACACCATTGTTAATGCTAAATATGGAGGGTACACTGAAGCTGTGAAGAGGCTTCTTGCTCAGCTTCCAATCAGCTCTCAGTCATACAGCAGCAGTCCTTATTTAGACCTGTCCTTGTTTAAATATGATGACAAGTGGGTTTCTGTGATGGAAAGGCCTAAGGCTTGTGGAGATCATCCAATCAGGTGAAGTATTTTTTCTAGTACAATGAGGTGGATTTAGAAATGACAATGCAAGGTTCTGACAGTGGTGTGGTTAAAATTTTAGTATTATTTAGGTGTGATTTTAGGAATCAAATAGGGGTGATGGACATTTGGGTTGCTGCCAGGGAGGTGTTGCCACCACATAGTGCCTGGCTGGTGATGTTATTGACAAATTGCTTCTTGCCTTTTTTCTGCAGGTTCTATTCAAGAGATTCAGGACTTCTCAAATTTAAAATACATGCAGGATTCTTGGGACGTCCAATTCCACCCACAGGAAAGCGACTTGTGGCCTTCACATTTCACCCACTTTACCCATTTGCCATCTCAGTGCAGAAAACTAATGCTGAGTATGTGGTGAATTTCCACATCAGGCATCTTACAAGTGGTGTTGAGCATACTTAAGTTAGGACTTGCCACACATGTACACTTGCTCTTTCCCAGCATCTACTGTATCTAACCTTTGAAAAATATAACTTATTTTTTGTGCTTTGAATTGATGGAGTTAGGTAGGTCTTGCAATTTGTGTAGTTTTCACTAGTGACCGAGTCAAAGTCAGAATCATAGTCGGAGTCGTAAGAGCGCTTATAACCTGGTGAAAATTGAAAATCAGAGTCTTAGGCGGAGTCATAAGCTCAATGGAATCAGAATCGGCACCATCGCTTGTGATCCAGTGAAAACTAGATTGTCGGAGTTGGAAGCAGAAGCGGAAGAA